GTAAATAATTTAACCTTCAAAAGGTCATCCTTGTTGCTAGAAAGTAGAAACAAATAGATTCGGAACGATAAAATGCAACATTGGATAAATTCAATACTCGTGATCCGTTGAAAGAACAAATCTTGTTGGGTACAAATAAATATACAATTTACAGAATATATACGAGTATTTTTTTGCATAAATTAGACAACTTTTCAAATGTAAATTTTATCAATTTTTATTAAAATATATTAAATATTTAATTTTAATTTCTATCAAACACGAGCTAAAAAATATCACTCAAAAGAGGTGGTAATCGATTTATTTAATGCTACAAATTGTGGTAACTGTCTTATTGACAGTAAAATTGCAAAATAGATTGAATCCCTGGGATTAAAATTAAATTTTTATAAAACTTAATAAAATATGTACTTTAACATAAATTAAAATATGATCAATCGCGCTATGTTGCCCAGAAGGGTTTGACACCCTTCCTGCACACTCACAATAGGGGGGTGGGGGAGATTTTTTTCATACTTTCTATTCATGCAGGTCCCGAGCACATGAGAGTCTGAATGGGCAATTTTTTGAATTATTAACACAAGACGTCACTATGTTTGGTACTTGGAGTTGGCAAAATGTTTATACGTTTGCGTTTTCACCCCTATTTCCACGTTTTATTGTGAAAATCATCATTTTCATCAATTTTCTCAATAAAATGACAATTATACTCACGTATTTAAATAAAATAAAGAATAAATTACAATCATATTATCAAATTTTTTAATAAAATATGAATAAATCCCAAATAAATAATTAAAAAAACAAAAATCATCCCCCTTCTCTTCCACCACCACTTTCACTCGCCGGAAACACCACACAACCGCCACCTTAGCCACCGGAAACCACAACCACCGTATAGCCCTCCATCCCGTCGTAAATAAGTACTGTTCAACAATGCTTTCTATATCCATCAATACTCAATAGTCTCATTGTTTATTTAGGGCAAAAAATACACCTCTTAGTTCTGTAAACTTTTTTGGATCTCAGAATTTCTTTCTTTTCTATAATCAGTTCTTACTAGAAACCATCTCCAAACTGATTTCATTCCCGGAACTTTCATCTTGAGAAATTAATTTATGCTGCTTGTCAGAATTGTCTTGTTTAGTTGGAAAGAATTCTGTCCCTTCCAATCAAGAAGAGAGAGTGGGAAAGAAGAAAATGTAAGATGAAAATTGAAAAATTGTGTGCTATCAATGTAGATTTTGATAGTTGCTCTATACCTGTATTCTTTGGACTGCCATTGTATATCACATTATATATAATCTGAGACGGTTGACCTGTGTGACATTTGATGATTTTATCGTTGCAGGAGGGTCCTCGGACAGTGGTGGGCGTTGCTACGTTTGATTCAAATATCCATTTTTACAATCTAAAACGTGCATTGCAGCAGGTTAGTAGATGGATGTTAGTTTTTCAGTTATAATCAAGCATATTGATTTCGAGGGGGGTGGGGGGGTGGGGACGGGATCCTTGCTTACATTGGTG